GAGAGATAGCACAGCGCTTGCGCAAGTCATAATTAAAAGCCACGTACTGGGTGCATCAAAAACAACATAAGATGTAGGCTAAAGACACCAAACAGAAAACCCAAAAGCAACCAAGTTGCCTAAAAACGGGTGGGTGTTATGTGGAGGGCATGTGATCTCTTGCCTTCTGATGTCATGTGATAGAATCTCAATCAAACTTCAACTTACAGGTAAGTCTCGTTTAATTTTCCAATTCTATCACATGACCAGAAGGCAGAGATCCCATGAGATAGCACAGCGCTTGCGCAAGTCATAATTAAAAGCCACGTACTGGGTGCATCAAAAACAACATAACATGTAGGCTAAAGACACCAAACAGAAAACCCAAAAGCAACCAAGTTGCCTAAAAACGGGTGGGTGTTATGTGGAGGGCATGTGATCTCTTGCCTTCTGATGTCATGTGATAGAATCTCAATCAAACTTCAACTTACAGGTAAGTCTCGTTTAATTTTCCAATTCTATCACATGACCAGAAGGCAGAGATCCCATGAGACTTCAAAGCGTGGATGCACCCGTACGACATGCGCTCAAACAAGAGGCATGAAATCCAACAAACAATAGACCAAACATAAGCAATGATAAACATGTTATATTAAAATGGTCTAACAGTAACAAATTATGCAATAAAGCACACATGGAAAAACAAAATATTTCACTGGCCAAGAATAGCGGCAGTTAGTCTGTTTCCTTGAACAACAGGTTTGTTGTAATATTTACGAAAAGGTCTCTGCGGACTTCCAGCCCGCGTTAGCCATGATCTCGTGGATAGGGACGTCCTTTTCATTTGCTTTGGAAACAGATGCTGACCTTGTGCTATGTGCAGTGAACACATTGGTATCAATCCCACAAATTCTAAGAGTTTCTTTAGTCCACCTTGAAACCGTGTCCCGAGAGACAGGTTTGTGGGGCCTTACATAACTAATAAACAATTGAGTTTCGCTATTACGCAAGTTCTTTGTCTTGTTAATATATGCTTTCAGACAGGCCAAAGGGCAAATTGTACTGTCTGGCTCATAAACGGAAATGTCAATCTTCGTATGTGGGCTCCTGGGAGTACTAGTCTTGATATGCTCAGCGAGGTCAAAGGAATAATTATCTTCTTCCATGGTAACATGCTGAAGATCTAGCAAGTGTATCGATTGTCCCCGTTGACTGGAAACTAATAGAATAAGCATAAGGGCCTTGTATGTCAAATCCTTTAAAGGCAATTTTTCATTGGGGTATAGGGAAGATAAATGTTTCAGAACCACGAAACATCCCAAATTTTGTCGTATTTAGGTTTAGGTTTGCGGGTTTCAAATACCCCTTTCATAAAACGTGTAACAACATGATTGCTGCCAAAACTTTTCTCCCGTCTATCATGACAATGGTAGATAAGGCAGAGCGAGCTGTATTAATAGTGGAGTAGCTAAGTCCTTGATTAAATAGGTCAGTGAGAAATTGGAGGGTGTCGCTCAGTGGTGGTGCATAACAATCAATTTTCCTTTCACGACAAAATGCCATCCATTTTTAATGTATGTGGCATACTGTTTTTGAGTGCCTTTTCTCCAAGATGCCATGAGAATGTCGGTAACCTCCTCTGGAAGGTGGTAACGGCTGAAGGATCCCCTGACACAGGACAGACCATCAGATGAAGATTTTTGTGTAGAGGATGTGGGCCGCTGCGTGACGGGTGTTGTAGAAGGTCTGGGCGTGAGAGCAGAATCCAGGGCTGATCGCATAGGTGCTGTAGGAGGACTGGGAACCCACGTTTGGGTTGGCCAGAGAGGGGCAATCAGAACTCCCTGTGCTCGGTCGTGACTGATCTTCTGAAGGCATCTTGGAAGAAGGCTAAAAGGTGGAAAAGCATAAAATTGATGCCCTTTCCAATTCATAGTGAACGCATCTATATGTGAACTACTAGGGTCTGCATGCCACGAGCAGTAACTATTTATCTGATTGTTTAGGCGCTTGCAAACAAATCGAAATCGAGTCCGGGTGGCGCAACATGATCTTGTCAAAGCAGTGTTTGTCTAACATCCACTCGTGATTATCTGAGAACACGCGTGATTGTTCATCAGCGCCAGTGTTCAGCCGACCAGCTATGTGCACAGCCGAGAGCCAAATGTTGCGTGCAGTACACCATTCCCAAATTTCAACAGCTAGTTCATTAAGTTGTTGTGATTTTGAACCCCCCATGTTGTTAATGTAAGCCAATGCTGTCGTATTGTCGATTTGAATTTGGATGTGGCAGTTGCCCATATGGTTGCAAAAACACTTTAACGCAAAAAATGCTGCGAGTAATTCCAATATGTTTATATGAAATTCCTGTTCCAAAGGGGTCCATCTCCCCCCCGTTTTCTGCGTGCCATAAACAGCTCCCCACCCCAGTGTTGACGCGTCTGATTGAATTGAAACGCTTGGATGATCTTGGTGAATATCTCGTTTAAGAGTGTCAGCATTATTGTGCCACCACTGAATCTCTGCTAGCGGGAGGGAGATTTGCATTATGCCCGCGAAATCACCCTTGTTAGCTATGAGCGAGATATTTATCCCGTTCAAGGTGGCGGTAGTGTAGGGGTCCGTACTGAGCCCCGGGGAAAATTGGACACCAGAATGCCAATGACCTCTGCGACCTGTCTGATTGTGGGCATTTGTGTTTGTAAAAAGCGTAGCACAGACAGACCGAATCCGTTGCGCTTTATCCTCCGTGGGCGTAACTGTCATGGCAATAGAATCAATACAAAACCTAAGAAGGTCAGTTTCTGGGAAGGGATGAAAACTGATTTCTCAGGATGGACATGAAAACCTAATTGAGTAAAAAGCGTGGACGGTGTCAACGACATTTTATAACATTCCTTGGAGGTGTCTCCTTGTAGATAAGAATCATCAATGTACCCTGAATTGAGATGTCCCATACTCAAGTGTGGAATACACGGGCTTCAATAATTTTGTAAATATGCGGCGGGGCACTAGCTAGGCCATTCGGCAAACAGGTATATGTGTAGAAAACACCATCAAAATAGAACTTTAAGTATTTCTGGTGAGATGGATGGATAGGGACGGTATAATAAGCGTCCTTTAAGTCTACGAAGCCATAAAACAACCTGGTCTCATCATGTTTACTGCAGCCTCTAGTGTATCCATTTTAAAATGATGGTAGGCTATATATTCGTTAAGGGCTTTGAGGTTTAAAATGGTGCGGTGCGTGCCATCTTTTTTTCGGCCGCAAGAATATTGTGGATACAAATTCTCCTGTTTCCTGTGCCTTGGGATAATGACCCTTTTGCGAGCAGTGTATCAATTTCCTCTGTGACAATTGAATGCTGATAAGCGTTGAAGACACTAGGTCTACCATAATGTTGCGTGGGTGCAACACTGTTTATAAATTCAATTTTAACTCCAGTAACAATCTGAAGAATAGAAGGGTCGGTTGTAATAGTTTGCCACTGCGGCAAAAAGTGTTTAAGTTTCCCGGCTTGGAAACTTGGTTGTGAATTTACCAAAACTATTTACAATGTCAATAGACAAAGATGTCGCATCTGCGTTACATACCTCAGGCACCTTTACGGGCGCTGGCTCGTTTCGCCGTCCTTTTTCTTTCTTGGCGGCGAAACGAAATTCCTCTGCTCGTGAGGTGATCCCTGACAAGTGGCAGACCAGTAGTTGCAGTTTCTTGTGCAGAGGGTGCAGCAGCTGAGGCTGTGCTGGTAGGTACAGTGTGTCTTCCTTCCTAGGTAGGATCACAGGAAAATCAATGAGCATATTCATTAAATATGGCCACCAAATTTGAGTAGGCCAGTTTGGCACAACTAACAGGCCTGTAGCCTCCTCCTCCGAAATTTTTTGTAATACCCGTTGTAATATACTAAACGGGGGAAATGCATAAAATGTATAACCCTTCCAGGAGACATGAAATGCATTAATGGCGTGCGCCTCAGGGTCAGGTTTGTATGCAACATAAGGTTTAAGCTGGAAATTTAGTCTTGAAGCAAATAAATCCACATCAGGTGTAACACCTAGTTTTTTAATGGCAGCATTAAAGAGTGGCTTCTGCAAAGCCCATTCGGTTTCTCTACGGGAAAGACGTGACTCTCTATCTGCCTCTATGTTTTGTTTCCCAGGGATATGTGTGACTGTTAGCCAAACTCTATGGTCTATGCACCACAACCAGATTTGGTGTGCCAGTTGATTGTTCAATCTGGAGTGGCACGTGCCCATCTGGTTTATTGTTGTCACAGCAGTGGTGTTGTCAACCAGGAGTTTAACATGCTTTCCTGAGATTGTGTTTGCAAAGGATTTTAAGGCAAGGAAAACAGCAAGCATTTCCAAATAATTAATGTCATGTTGGGTTTCCTCTGGAGTCCAGTTTCCCCCAGCAGTAACTGGTTCCATACAGCAGCCCCATCCAATCAGAGAGGCATCTGTTGTCATAGTAACCTGGGGTGCCCCATGATTTATCAGGTTATAAGCGGTATCAAGTGCACTGATCCACCATTTAAGATCAGTTGTGGCTTCTGGGGATAAAGACATATTCGTATCAAAATTCCCTGTATTCATTTTCAATGCCTGAGTTTTGTCCATTTCAAGAAACTTATGGTGTAGTGGACCATACATAACTCCAGGAAAGCTAGAGGTCATAAGCCCTAGTACCTGGGCCACATCTCTAATGCCTGGAGAGGCAGTAGCGAGCAAATTCTCACAGGCATTTTTTAGTTTAAGAGCCCTTTCAGGGGTCAGTGACACCTGCATCAAAACTGAATCAAGAACAAACCCCAGAAAGGTTATCTTTTGAGTAGGGAGTAGGACAGACTTTTCTGGGTGGACAATAAACCCCACTTTGTCAAGCAAAGTGGCAGTATCAATGACATTCCTCAGACACAGGGCAAAATTATCTGCTGTCACCCAAGAATCGTCTATATATGCAACTGATATGTGCCCTTGTTGTCGTAAGCAGGAAAATATTGGCTTCAGTAACTTTGTAAATTTTCGAGGGCAAAGTGCTAGCCCATTTGGAAAACATACAAATTGATACAAGTGTCCTTTCCATTTAAACTTGAGAAATTTCTGGTGCTCTTTGCATATTGGCACTGTGTAATATGCATCTTTTAAGTCTATGGAGGCCATGTAACATCCCGGTTTCATTAGTCTGATAGCAGACCAAATGTTGTCCATTTTGAAATGATAATGAGTTACATTGGCATTAAAGGACTTCAGGTTTAAAATCATACGGTGGGAGCCATCCTTTTTGGGTCTGGTAAATATAGTTGAGATGAATTCCCCAGCTTCATGTTCACTGGGCTGAATAACACCTTTTTTAAGGAGTTTAGTGATTTCCAGTTCAACAGATTCTGTTTGAATGTCAGATAGCTTAGTTTGCATCAGGGGTTTTCCCTGCATAGGCACTGTGTCAAGTTCAATAAACTGACCAGTAACAGTCTCTAAAATTTCAGGGTCAGAGGTCAACTCATGCCATATGTGTGAATAAGCAGCTAAACTGCCCGCTTTGAACGTTTGTGCTCTCTGTTGAAAATATTCTAAAAGTGATGGCAAAATAATTTCATACTCGCTTACCTGAGTGGTGCTAAGTTTCGTAATTACGTCACTGGCTATTTCCGGTCCCCTGTTTGGCCGGCTCTTTTCTTCCAGTGAGGTTGAAATGGAGTCGATTTCTTGAACGACTGGTTGCTCGAGTGCGTTTTGCCTAAAAAAGGCTTCCAGTGTTGATCATTAGTCGTGGTATGCGATTTAGCATAGGGTCGCTTATGAGCAAAGTTGGATGGGCTAGCCGTGCTGCTTATCTTGTTTGAGGCACGGATGTGATTGAGCTGCGTTTGCAGTTCGTCCCCAAACAACAATGTGGTTATGGGTACGTGTGAAGCACACAACGTGGCATAATCTTTGTGAAGAGTCGGGCGAATAACATCACGTCGCCGTTGTGATACTTCGAAGCTTATGTGCCCAAGGAGTGCCAGTGCGTCAGTATTCATTCTTATCATACTTTCGAGATCAAGTTTGCTGTTCTCGGCACGAGCCTTCAACAACAGATTCGTTGTTTGTGTGGTAATAATGCCAACTTTTGTCAGTGTGGCTTGTAAGTTGGACAACCTAAGGTCCTTGCCCTTCGTTTGTCGATCGAGGCGCCCCCAAATTTCAGGATTGACTTTCGGGGTGATAAGCCGATCACAGTTTGACG